GCCCATCAATTGGAAACTGGATAAAGAAGTTGTGGGGTTTTTTTTATAAAATGGAGTAGTACTCAGCCATAAAGAACAAGAAATTAGAGACATTTATAGCTAAATGGATGCATACTGAGGCCATCCTCTTAAGTGAAATAAATAGGACACACATGTGTAAATACCGAATAGTTTCTCTGGTATGAGAAACTGAAGGTGTAAATAAGGATTAAAATGAATAACTGATAATTTGAAATAGGAAGAAAAGGTCCAAAGGGGTAGGGTTAGTGGGAGGGGAAGGGGAAAGGAAAGAAGGGAAAGGAAAAATTATAAGGAAAGGAAAAAATGGAAACAAAGTCTTTGTAATTAGGGAAGGGAGCGCAGGGAATGGGGAAAAAATAAGAACCAAGATACAACATGTACAGGTACAAGGACCCAATGATAAATGTAAATGTATTGTGTACCTAAAATGTACCAATAAAAGAACTTAAGCAAAAAAAAAAAAAAAAAGCTCCCAGAGTAATCAAGAAGGACCCTTAGCTAGATGACCCCTGTCCCCCTGTCCCCAGTGTAGGCCGAAGCAAGTGACCATAAATGGAAACATCTGAAATAGCATGGTGGTGCATGCTTGTCATCCCAACATTTGGAAGGCTGAGGCAGGAAGAACAGGAGTTTGAGGCCAGCCTGAGCTACAGAGCAAGACCTTATTTCAAGAAACCAAACCAAACACACAAACAACCATTTCTTTAAATCACACCTTTCTTCTTTAAAATTCAGTTGAGGTTAACATTTTGCTAATATAACTCGAAGGATATTTCCTTGTTTTTTTCTAGTAAAATTAACATCTGTAGCACAATATGTCGCATGCATCCTCCAGCTCCCGTCATCCTTGCCACAGTGTTCGTGACCCCTTCAGAGTCGCTGCCCTCTCATTTCATTCTGGCACAGCCTCGTGTCATTGACCTGAACTATTGGCAGGAACTACTGACCTGACAGATGTGGAAACAGTTTCCAAGGGTTAAGCAAGCTGCCTAGAGTAACACAAATAATTATTGATTAAACTGGAATTCAGATCCTGTTCTACCCGGCCCTGCCAGGAAAATCCTTGTCCTATAATCATTAAGTAGGAGTTCACTGTATGAACGAATGACCCACCTCCCAGTGAAGGAAGCTGGCTGAGGGACTTTCGCTACCCAGGAGGGCCAGGGAAGAGGGGCCACCTCGAAGGAAGCCCTCTGGCAGGTGACACAAGCTTTGGGGACTTCAGACTACTGCCTCCAGCAGTTTCCTCAAAGTCAACCTAGGAAGACACCTGAAGGCAGGCTGAGGGGCCCTGATGTGACTCGTCACTTGGGACTGCCCTGCACACTCCCCAGGACGTGGACGTTACCTGTCCTAGACCTGAGCTCCTACGACTGGACCCTGACTGCCAGACACACTCCACAGTGGGCAGCCCATTCCCCCGCAGCGTGTCTGATCGGCTGCCTGCTCTTCTCCAGCCCAGGGTGCTCAGCAAGTGGGGTCACAGTAGAGAACACAGAAGGGGGCGGGGTCAACCAGGCCAGGGAGTCCAGGGTAGGTGTTGGCTGGTGGAGACGAAGGTGACTCCAGGGCTGCTGCAACTTGCTGTGTGAGCCCCGGAGATGCGCCTGACTGAATCCCATCTCTCCTTCCACATGACAGGGCGATGAATCCCGCCTGTGGGAAAATCGCTGTGGTTCCCTGGAATAAAAGGAGAGAAAAGGAGGACGGCGATTGGCCTATCCGTCTGTTTCCCTACAGAATCCAGTCCTGAGATTCACCCCCTCCACACACACGCCCCAGTTTATTTGGAATCACCCAACCTGGTGAGTGTTCCCAATATCACCAGAAGGGGGCGCCAGCACTCCGCTTTGGTGACTGCGGACCTGGTTGGAGCTGGGAAGTCTGTTCTCAGCAGGTATTGCCCCGGTGAGGTGTGTCTCAACCCCAAAGAGGCACCCAGTCCCCAGAGGTCTGAATAGCTGATTGTGTTTACTTAAAGCCGGTCACCTTCCTGCTGTCCAGCTGTGTGAGTGGATGGGAGCATGTGTGCAGGGTGCGTGTTGCTGTGTGTGAGGAATGCTTGGTGCACCTCTGGGTGTCATGGGTAGCAACAAGCAGGGCTGCTCCTGGGCTCTTGCAGGTCAGTGTGCAGAGGAAGCCCCTCGTGCCTCTGGCCGGAGGAAAGCCCGAGGTACTGTCACACACCCCTTAGGTCCTGCACGAGAAGGCGAAACAAAACAAGCCCAAATCCCTGGAGAGCAGGGGCCCTAGGGCAAGTGGTTTCAGGCCATTCAGTCATCCTGGACTCAGTCACCTGCTGGGCCAGGTGGGGGCAGGGCAAGGCGAGGGGGGAACGGGTTGGGGTGGACATGGTGGCCTTGCCCCGATGCCCAGAGCTCCTCGCCCGAGGTGACACTGCGTGTGGCTGACAGGAGCCTGCAGGGTGGCACCCACCAGGGACATCTGGCTGGCCGCTGAGGGGCAGAAAAGATGATCTGGGAGGACTTGAAGGCCTGGAAGGGACCACTCACTCCTGGTCCTAAGGAACCAGGGGGTGGTCCGGTCAGGTGACAGAGAAGGTCTCACCGTGAGTCCTGCCCTGAGGCACCGGGAGGGCCAGACAGGTTCACACGGCAGCTTTGATAACTTAGGGCAGACTGCAAAGCACGTTACAGTTCACCACATTATTTAACAAACCGGTGAGGTGGATCAGAAACGGAAGCTCAGAGAAGTTAGGTAAGTTACCCCAGGACACACCCCTGTATGTGACCCCCAGTGTGCTTTTCACCCTGTGGGGCTCCAATTTCCTCACCAGTCAACCAGGGCAAATTACTCAGGGAGTTGCAGAGCTACAGTTGAACCAAGCAAGCTCGTTTGTTTTTCAGAGATGGGGGAGGCTATTTCACTCAGGCTCCTCGAAAACTCCTGGGCTCAAGCAATCCTCCTGCCTCGGGCTCCTCAATAGCTAGGACTAGAGGTGAGCACTGGATGAGAGGGGATTCCAGTTGAAACATGAGTTGCCTCATGACTGTCTTGTAATCCTGACCCTGGATTTCAAGGTTTCATTCAGAAAACTTGTCTGTTTAACTATGGTGGCTGATGACGTAATTTTATAAACAAATTTCACAAGAGCCCAGGCAGGGAGAGGGGGAATGGTATAGAAAAAGATTAAGATATGTTAAATGCTTGTATCACTTTACCAAAACAAACCACATTTTTCTGTATTACCAACATGCACTAATAATTTAAGAGAGGGAGGGAGGGAGGGAGAGAGAGAGAGAGACCATGGAAGGAAAAATCAGCTTCAGGAGCAGGGGGCGGGGCTCCTGCAGATTTGGGAGCCCTTGGGTCTGCGTGGTGCGCACACCCTGAGCACGTGTAGGACCCCACGCACGCATGCAGATGTGTGCTTTTTTCTTCTGTCTCCGTCTCCGTGTCTCTCTCTCTCTCTCTCCCTCCCTCCCTCCCTCCCTCCCTCCCTCTCTCTCCTCTCTCTCTCTCTCTCCTCTCTCTCTCTCCTTGGACTAATCCGACCTGAAGGAGCGTGGAGTCGGACAGGAGAAGAGTCAGGGCTTCATCTCCTCACTACTCCTGACCCGGATGGTCTGGAAACTGCTGGGGACGGTTGGGTCGGGTTTCCCAGCAAACTTCCCCTTCCCTCCCGCTGAGGAGTCAGAGGTCGCCAAGCTTCCTCCTTTGGCCAAACTCTCTCCTTCCAGCGCAGTGAGGGGACTTGAGGCCGAGACGGGGTCCTGGCCCCCCACTCCTGCTGCCAGCTGGGGCTGAGCCCGGCCGGGTGCGGGAGGAGGGAGCTGCAAAGGCAGCGCAGCAGCTCGGAGGGCCCAGCGGACCCTGGGGTGCAGGGAGACAGCACGCACGGCCCAGCGCTGCCCGCGGCCCAGACCCGGGTACCGTCCGGGTCTCAGCTGTCCAGGGAGCGGGGCTGGACACAGAACTTTACCCTTGTGCCTCCCGAAGCGAGGAGGAAAGGGCTGATCTGGTCTCCCACCAGAGCTCAGAGGCGGGACATTAGACAAGGTCCAGAAATAACATCCGAGTGGCCTCTGAGTTGGGACCGTGACATTCTCCTCCCCAAATAGAACTTGACAGTGTGCTTGAGGCATTCCTGGGCTCTGGGGGAGCGGTGAGTACCTGTTCCTGCCCCTCGGGGTACTCAGAGCCAGCTCTCAGGGCCGTGGCGGGATTGTACCAAACGTACGGAGACCTCTGAACATACCCCTGTCCCCCAGAGCACTCCAGGTCCTAAGAGGGACAAGTGATGCTGTGTTCCCATGAAATTAAGCAGACTCAGAGGCTCAGAGGACATCAGAGTAGACTGAAAGGAGAGCCACGAGGGGTGACCAAAGTATATGAGGAATGTTGAAATTTTAAAAAATATATTACAGCAAAAGACACACTGCTGTCAATTTGCGTACTCTTCTCCCATCGCTCTTGCCACTTTCTGAGGCAGTTCTGGAAGTCCTCTTCCATGAGCATCTTTACAAGACGTGGTCAAAAGCACAGTGAACATTGCTCGCGTTGCTATCCAACAGAGAGCCAGGCTGGTAGAAACATTACCGTGTGTCCTCATCCGGCTTATTCGGCTGGGTCTGGCACTCTGTAAGGTCTGGCTCCTCCCCAAAGTGCAAAGGACCATGAAAGGTAAACATTTTGAATCCATTCAGGACACCATGGAGGCAGCCACAACCGTGCAACTAAATCCACTCACGGAAAAGCACTTGCAGAACTGCTTCAGAAAGTGGCAAGAATGATGGGAGGAGTGTGTTTGAAATGAGGAGTGCTTTGAGGGGCCTTCATCGCAATGTGTCTTTTACTGTAAGAACAACTTGTAATTTAAATATCCATCGCGCTTTTCGATCATACATCATATGTTTAAGGACCACAGAAATTCATGCACTCACCCCCTCCCCTGGGGTTCAAGGTCTCCCAGGAGGGCGGAGACTGGGTGCTGTGGGCATCCCTGCAGGTGGCAATCGCAGGGTGGGGGAGTGCAGCTGGGCTTTGAATTCTTACAGCATGTCTCTCTGGCCAGCCTTGCCTCTGTCCACTCCTAAGCCCTACCCCTGACGGCACAGAGGGGAGACTCCTCTGGCTCTGCCTTCTGCTGCCTCCCCTCCCACCCAGGTCCCCCACAGGGGTAACCTGAATGACTTGGGTAACTGAGATCAAATCCTCACTGCCATTAAACATTGACAGCCCCAAGCATGGTGAGAGGCCGGGTTGCAGAGAAACTCTTGGGCCAGGCCAGGGGAGCCAGGGAGATCCCAGCAGCTGGGCCATTAAAAATGAATGGGAAGCAACTCCCTCCAGGGGCTGCCTCTCCTAAAGCTGCCACTCTGCTGGCCAAGGGGCAGGGCCAGGGGAAGTCACAGAAATCAGCAGGGCCCAGACCCTAAGAGATATAAAAGTCTCTGCTAGTCGTGCCCTTCACTGTGTGTTAGTTGGGTGGAAAGATGGTGGCCCTGACTGGGCAGACTTGAATTTGAGTCTCAAATCTACTTTACCATGCGGCTTTAAGCATGGCGAACCTTATTTCATTCAGCTGTAAAATAGGCTTAATACTTATCCAAAAGGTTGTCACAGGGTTGGAGATTTAGCTCAGTGGTTCCACCACCCGCCTCGAAAGTGCAAGGTCCCAGGTTCGATCCTTGGTACAAAAGAAAAAAAAGGTATAAGAATGAAATGACCCAGGTGTGGTGTTACACACATGTAATCCCAGCTACTGAGACGGGTGAAGAGGAAAAACTCCAAGTTTGAGGACAGCCTAGACTACATAGTGAGACACTGTTTTGAAAGACAGGAAAACCCTGAAAATATCATGTTTAAGTCATCTAGCGCAGTGTCTGGCCTATTAGAAAGGTTACTTAGCTGGGTGTTGTGACACACACCTGTAATCCCAGCCCTGGGGAAGCTGAGGCAGGAGGATCATCGAGAGTTCGAGGCCAGCCTGGACTACATATTGAGACCTTGTCTCAAAATAATAAATAAATAAATAAACAAACAAACCACAGGTCCAGGGCTGTAACTCAGTGCTCCTGGGTTCAGTCTTTAGTAATGAAAGAAAAAATTTTATTCCTCCAACACTCCTTCCGGAAGGGCATGAGCTTTTTCTCCAAGTCTCCTCAGAGAGCCCCTCTGGCCTGTGGGATTGGTGGGATCTTTTTCCTTCCCTCCCCCAGGGTTCCGGAGACACTGGTCTATTCCGTTTGCCTGCCTGTCTCCCCCTCTGAGGCCCCATGGATTTTCTTGCACTGCCCCAATGTTCAGTATGTACCAGTTGCTTGGAAAATGTTGAACTAAATTGAAAAGAGCCTTTAAAAGAATGTATAGAAAGCCAACAAATTGAAGGCAAGTGACAGAAGACGGAAGGGATTAAGGTCACTTGGTGAGACATCATCACAGCTCGGCCAGGCTTATGAGGACCTCAGGTATTGTTAGGCCAGAAGAAATACATGCAATACATATGGAATTCTTGGGGCTCCTGACTCCTGGTACCATGCTGGAGAGCCAGGGCTGGATACAGGCCCTGTGAGCCTGGCAGGACAATGTTCCCTGGTCCACAGGGGCTATGTGACTTACCCCAACCCCATAGACTCAGCACAGAAAGCACCTGGGCCCGGGCAGCTCTTGTGACATCCAGGCCAGCACTGCTGTCCCTGGGGCACCTGGACTGTCCTGTTTGCAGACAGGATGGGACATACATTTGACTACAAGTTTTGGTTCCAGTAATAGTGTACTTCCCTGACACCGGGAGGCCAAGGATTCAGAGGGAGTGTTGAGCAGCAAGGAGGATGGGCCAGCT